CTTCTCGAGTAGCAAGTTTTATTTTTCTCAGAGCTTAGGCAGCATGCGCAAGCCATGTTGCCTTTTTAAAAGTCTCCATTATACCAAGAGCCTGCAGTTCCTTGTGATAATTGTGGCACTTGTACGCACATTTTCACATATATGTAGTAAGATGATGATGTTGATGGTGTTATCAAACTTATCTAAATCTTGGCACTGTGCCTATTAACATTTCACCTTTAATGTTGCAGTAACAGTTGCTGACTAAGCATTTTCTATTTACTGTTTCTGCATCTCATTTCCTCCTCCCTTCTCCCCCCCCCCCGCATAGCTTTCTTTTTCCCCCCCCCTCCCCCCCCCCCCCCAAGCTCTCCAGCTGCAAACAGTGTTCGCAATACAGGATGCATCCATTGCCTGCGCAATTTAATAAGGCTTGAGATTTGAAGCGAAGCCCTCTTTCACAAAAAAACCCAGCATCACGTGGTTAATAATTTTAGTTGATTCTAAGAGCGGTCGTCGAAGCTCAACATTAGCGGTAGACTCTTGGTAAGGCAGGACTGTAGTTGAGCACAGCGCAAAAAAGGGTAGCGGGAAATAACGACTTCTACAGTTGGTGTTGCAGCTGGTGGATAGCTACCCCATTTAGGCAATGACTTTTCATAACCGAGTTGGTGAACAGTTCAGGGGCTGTGTTGTGTTTTCAGGTGAGGAAGCTTCCTTAAAGCACTGAAGTGAAATAACTTTCCTTTTGGCAACAGTCATATGTGATTCTTTGTATAATTAACTGTTTCATTTGACACTGGCATTTTCTGGAGACTGGGGAGCCGTGCAATACCTGTTAGGTGATCAACAGGCAAAGTAAATACACAGGCCTCACACTAGCTAGAAAATGCAAACAAACCTAATGTGAACTTTGTCCTTTCCAGTGAGGCAAATGGAGGAAAGAGAGAAAACCCGAAACAAAAACAGCAGCACTGCAGAAATCCTTTGCAGTTTGACCAGCAGAACACAGAGCTGTTCCAAATGCAACCGTGTCGTAGGTTATGAGCTCTGAGTTTTATTGAATGTTAAGGATCCCCACCCCCCAAAACCCCATAATTGTGTAAAGGGGTACTTTTTAAAGGTCTGGGTGGCATTTGGTATCTGCTTGCTCTTAATAAGACATTTCATTTGTATTCCTGGTGGAAAGGATGGTAGAAGCCTTGAGACTATATGCTTAGTGTGCCTACGGATCTCTGCTCTCTTGTATAGGTACATACTCCAGCTATTTTGTGTGTGGGGGGGTGGATTATGTTTTGAGATTCAGTCTTTGGCATCACTATATCTGTGATTTCAGACGATGACTTTGTGTGTATGTATATTTTCTTTTTTTCTGCCAAGTGATATATTGGTGCTTAAAAACCTCAGAACATACTGTTCTTATGTAATGAATTGGAAGGAATAATGCAGAAAAAGAATGTTTTGAGTTAATTATTAGATCCAACCTATACGTTTTGAGTTAATTATTGGATACAACCTGTATGGTTTTTAGAGTATAGATTTGTACTGATCCTATTTTCAATTCTTTCTAAGCATGCGGTTCCCACACAGCAGTTTATTTCTAAATCACAAGATAGGGGGACTAACATTGTGAGCTCATGACTGGCAGAGAAAAAAATTGTACACATGGATGAAATTCGAGTTTAAACCTAACAAGGAGAGAAGTAATATTCATGTGTGAATTGCAACTGCTATTAAAAGAGAAAAACTACTGGCTATTCAACATTTAATTATGTCACAGAAGGGTGAATACCCTGATTTATATAAACAGAACCACTCCTGTAATCTTGAAATCAGTCATCAGTAGTTGGAGTTAGAAGGAGCTCTGTTTGGTGGATTTCTTTAATTGCAGAGCATTCTTGAAAAGCTCTCTTCAGTCAAAATTTTGGAAACATAAGCCCACTTACGAGACTCATCAATTTGATTTTTAGCAGGCAAAGGAAAGGTAAGGGGCAGTAGACATAGGTGGAAAATAAGCTTGAAGTGAATTGTAATACTGCAGTTAATTAAAGTTAACCATAGCTACGGGGCATTTGTTGTATGGAGATTTTTTTGTAACCATGTGACCTTTTCTTTTACTCTGGCTCATTAAGGAGCCAGTCTGGGCATATTAGCCAGGATTTCTTCGAACCCACTCCATAGGTTTTTCTCTTTCTGGAGAGGTCCACAGCTGACAAATATGCTGTAACCTTTTTTCCGAGGAGGAGGAAAAGGGAGCTGCTGAGCGAGTCTCATGTACAGAGATTCAGCTGATTTCTGTATTTTACAGTAATGCTCCCCTCCCCCATATTTGCCAGTTATTTAAGGTAAAGTCCACTGTTTGCTTGAATAAATCGTGTAAGTGAATTTATTTGTCCAGGTGGTCATTTGTTGTGCTCTCATTCCTTCTTGTAATGAGGAAGTATTTAAATGGTTTATTTTCCCAAGGAGGGTGGTTTTTTTTTTCCAGCTAGATTATTCTCGACATTTCTTTTAATAGCCTTGTAGCCTATTTTCTAAGAAATGGGTTAGAACATGCGTGTCACTGGATGTTTGTTTTTTAAGCATTGGCAGCTCTGTGTGAGTTGGAGATGGAAGTGTTTATGTAGTGAAGAGATGCTATGTCCGTTTGGGGGAAATACTACACAGTTCCATCAGGAGCTCGAGTTCACCAATGCTAACTGGTGTCATTTAGTACAAACCTTGTTATCTTTTTTATTTGCTTAGCCATGTTGTGCATATGCGCATATGCCTCCCCTTTAACATTTGAGCTCCAAACTAGTCAGGACTAACATTGTTTTGAAACTGCAATCTCTTCAAATAGGCTGGCTGCCAGCATAGCTTTGCAGAGCTGCAGCAGTCACTGGAAAAAGGGTTGTCTGCTTCTTTATGCGTCTTGCGAGCTGAGTTTTTCTTCCCCTCAAGGGAAAGGGCTTTGCCCCCTCAGAGCTCTCAGGTTCCCAGCTTACTATGCAGTAGTCGCTTTGCAGCTTCCCTCTTCCCTAGGTCTTGCCATTTTCTTTTTTTGTGGTATGCAGCCATTCTCCATTCATAGTAGGATGGTTTGTGTTGTGCATTAGCAGCCTCTTTCTCTGCCAAAGTGACACATCCTGTAGATTTGCAGCAGAGTACTGAACTGTCACTGTAATGCTGACTCTTGTAAGGCTATTCTTGAAGCAGAACAGCTTCCCCCTTGGCATTCAGCCATCAGAATCCGTTACAGCATGCATTTTCTACCCAAAACATAGCTCTGTACCTACATAGTTGTCCTTACAACCATCCCCTGGAAGACGCAGAGGGCATAGTTATACCCTCCTGTATAGAAATAGGCACTGCTGGATTTATTTTCAAAGCATCTGAAAACCGTGTACTGAGCTTTTGTTGTTTCAGCCCCTGCCTTAAAACCTGTAATGCAGACTGGGAAGGGGAATGCCTCTGCTGATGGGGTGATGTGAAAAGAACTGCAGACAAGGTCTTTTCCCTGGTGTATGTCTTAAAAGAAGGATTAGGTGTGTGTGCACTGAGCAAGGCTACTACTGGGCTCCTCTGACCAGCCAGCCGAACATCTCCCTCTCCACGTGTTTGCCACAGGGCAGCCCAGCCCCATGCTGCCGGCCCTGACTGGGAGGCTTTGCAGGAACCCAGCTCTTCTCCCTGGGAACGGGCTCGCCTACCTCCATGAGAAGAAACACGGGAGATTACATGTCATTTCAAGTTTCTGACAGCAAACCCACTCTCTTTCAGCCATTCAGGGAACTGTAGAGTGAAAAGCAGAAGGGAGCAGTTAGACATGTGAATGGGAGGGGGAGGATGCTCGTCACCAGTCTGTCCGGCCGGTACGGTCTCTGACTGGTTGGACTGGCTGAGCTACTTGGGGCTAGGTAGGTTCAGGATTGCACAGTCTGACTACTGTGCTTGGCTCCACGAAATGAACCTTGCTGGTATCCGTGTGCATTGCTGACAGTGGCTGCAGCTACTCTGAAGTGTCCTTCTCTCTCCCCTCACTGACACACAGCCACACAGCCCTGCCTGCTGCTGGGCTGAGATTTGCATTCCCCTCACTGCTGTGTGCCTTGCCTTCCCGATGCGCCCTTGTAAGGTTATTTGGAGGCGGTGGGAGCAGGGGTGGAGGTGAGGAAGGTCAAGCTTCTTAGGTTTCAGCTGATTTGGCATCCGCTCACAGCCCTCCCCCCCCCCGTAGCCCTGTGCAGATATATGTACTCGCTGCTGCTTTTATGACCCTTTGCAAAGAAACCTCAAAGATGTGAGCGGCTGTCAAATAGCAACTTATTTTCAGGAAAACAGCCCCTTCCCACACCGATCAGCTTTAACAGCGAGAAGACTGTGTTTTTTCCTTGTCCCCAAAGAGAGCTATAATGTCTGCCACTTTCTCTCCAGCTGGCACTACTCTCCCAGCAGTACCAGGTGTGCCAGGGCGACCGGCTCCCCCAAGCCTGCTTCAATGGGGTCTTTTCCGCTATTTTTTGGCCAGCGCGAAGGCTCTTTGCTTTGTTCAGTGCTCTGTGAGTGGAGGCTGAGCCTGGCAACCCCACTGCAGCACGGAGCGGCTTGGCACAGCTGCGGCATCGCATCTCAGGCAGGGACGGGTAGGCGGCGAACCGAACCGGGCTGAACCGAACCTGGCTGGGCCAGGCCGGGGAGGGGGGCACCGGGCCACCACAGCATGCAATTGCCGCTGGCCTGGGCCCGGCCTAGACAGCCATGTGATCCCCCGCCTGCCCGCCTGCCTGCCTCTGCGCAGTGGGAATGGGGACATGAAACATGTCTGTGCAGCTTCAGGGAGCCGAGCAGAATTCCCCACTGTCATCATCCTCCTCCCCTCCCTCCCTGCAGGCTGCCAGAGGGGAGGGCTGATTACAGCTCTGCTATTGTTCAAGTAACCTACAAATGGATTTGCATGGAGGCAGGTTGGGAGGGGCAGAGGGGTGGGATTTATTAGCAGCAGCTAAATTCATCGGGATTACTATTAGGCTGAGAGCTTC